AGTTAGAATTCATGGGCTGGCCATTGGATTGGGTCCGAGTGGCTTGATGGTCTACGAGCTAGCTCTTCTTGTAACCAGAAGGTCCTGGGTTCGAACCCCTGTGGTGAATTCATCAAACTAGGTTGGTGAAACAGCTGTTGAATACTCCCAGGTTTTCCAATGGTTCTCTAACTAATGTCACCTCATGATGAAATCCTGTAAACCAATCAAATCCCTACAAACCAACACTTAAATATTTATTCTTTGAATCTGTTGTCTGTTAAATGTCTAAATGCAGAGCAGTTTTCACTACATTGTTAGGATGATTTTGAATCAGTATTTGTATTTCCTAGTAGTTTCTTCACGTTTCTCTCCAGTCTTTATATGTCCTAGTTGGACGACAGACAGAAGTTGGGCAGAAACGAAAGATGCCTATATTGTTTTAGCGTAATGTATGCGGGGTCATACTGAGGTTTTAGGAAAGTTCTATACGTGGTCTGCAACTTCATCCGGTATAGATAAAACTAGTATATCCATATTTCAAATGATTAACAGGAAAATAATTTTCCAGTCGAGCGAACCAAAGTTTACGGTCAGATGAATTAAGAGAAGATGCAGACTGATTGATCGAACTCATGGACCCAAAATATCAGAACATCCGATTCCAATCTTCAAATTAATGTCTAGTAAAATTTAGAGTAAAAAGATTAAAAGAGCAAAATACAGAGAAAAGGATGTATGAAAATATATAAAACATACACATCTACCAAACATCTGCATTTGAAAAATTTCGGTCAGTATACGTGCAAAGAGCATAGTAATGGGTTAGTAATTATGGTAGATCGAGTGCAATTGAGGTATAAATCGCTAAGTGTATACGGAAGTTCGATTTAGAAGGCGTACTTTGCACACTAGCTCACCAATCAGAGCGTATGAATCCAAATACATACACATAAGCCCTATTAGTTCTTTACCTTTCTTAATGTACAAAACATGATTTGCTACTAGGCATAACGTTAAATTCAAAAACGTTCAGTCACAACTGACTATGTATGATTAATCAACTATTAGAATGTCATTTTTTCAACTCAGGCATGCACATCATTGCTACTAGGTAATTCAGTTTGTAGACGTGTTAAATGAACTTTAGATGTCTTCATGTTTGACTAGCTATTTCTTGAAGTGTATTTTCACTCCGTTAGAAATCTACAGAATTTAATAAATTATAAAACGTAGGTTTTAAAGTTTTATTCTTTTGCATGCCGAATGGAACGTATGGCTACAAGCCTCAGCTTGAAAGTTCCAGTGACAGTAGTGTTTATTTTTCACGGGATGGGGATACTAGCCTCACGCCTGAGTGATTGACAAAGATTTTGAGCCATGTCACTGAGAACAGTGTGCAGCCATTGGTTGTTCACGTCTCGAGGATCCCAGTCAGGTGATCTACACCCGCCTATGTGTCTCAAACCAACAGTCAAAGACTTCATGGATTGATTCCAGGTTTTGATTTGACCACTTCTAGTTGTTTTCCAGCCTAGTCCTATGTCAGCTAAGAATTAATCGACTAGGAAGCAGGTGGCTTGGCGTCCACTGATTCTCCCTGCTTACCTAACACTCTACGCCTGACTTCAGTATTACTCACGATATTATACCACTCAAGGCGGGAGGTAGAGCGTGAACACCTATGGTGAAACGAAGAGTGTTGGCCTCTTCAAATCTTCCACTCTCATCGGCCACAACTCGAAGCAAGGCAGGCAGGCATACATTCATTTTACGTTTTGTTGATTCACCTCCTGTGTAAATGGGTATATCCTAGGAAATGAAGATCAGAATATAACAACATTCAGCTGAATAGATATAATGATAAAACTTGGGCACTGTGGTAGAGTATAATCCCATTATGGAAACTTATGTGAGAACGTTGATGTGATTATGAGCCATAAATTGTTGTTGAAACTTCATCAGTAAATATTACTGTAAAACACTCTCAGACTTTATCAAAATAAAATTTTATCCACAGTGGAATTCAGCTGCGTAAATGTTGAAAATAAGACTTCAGAAATGCCTGTAATGTAAGATCTAAATGTATTGACTATTTTTATCTTAGGATGATGATAATTTGATGTGGAAAGCAAATGGGATCCTCTCTAGCCCGAATAGGGGATAACTTAGTTGTGCAAACAGAGCCCGGTTGTACAGCTTCATCCCCATCATGGTTGCTTAAATTTATTATTATTATTATTTATGAAACAAAAATATTGTCGTTCTTGTGCATATATAAAGAGACTTGAGTAGATACTAGTGTAACAACAGAAGACAAGGGCCAGGAAACAGATCGTTTATTAAGGAAATCAACACATATTTATAGATTTTCATGTACATTATTATAGATTATTGTTAGCAGAAAAACACAGTCTTCTGATTGGTTGTTTCTCACAGAAAGTTAACCTTGCATCTCTTTGTGGCTGTTTCCTGCATGTCAGATCATCTATATATTAACTGTATCCGCCTACGCAAAATCTGCTGTGGTTGGCTGTTGAATCAGTCTTTGTTCATATTTTTCTCACAACCAATATTGGGGACATAAACATTGACGTAAATGCTCTCTACTAATTTTGGCTAGTAACCAGCTCTCACCACACTAGAAGTTGCACAAAAGATGGTGACAGTCACAAATACTTCATATATGCCTTTCGATGTAATCATTGTTGGTTGTATAGAAAGTGCTAGACTGTCGTCCTCTTTGTTCTATTTTTATCTATTTTCATGTGTCTATAAAGAATGCAAGTCTGTGGAAAATGATGATAAATAATGAGAGAATAATTCGGTATAATTTAGTATGCCAACTTTCTTTCTTTCTTTCTTGGACCTTTAACTTTCTGAATGTTATTCAGTCATTTCCTTTTATTTGCCAGTATACTCAAAGAAACAATGAGCGGTTTATTATTTCAAATTGTTTTGGTCAAACTTCCTTATTTAAACAACGTTTCAAGTAGGACATTATGGAGTCCTTCATATAGTTCTACGAGAATATCGACTCTTCTGTCATTCAGGTGTACAATTTTTCGTGAAGGGTATACAAAATCAGTTGAGTGTACTGATTAAAAAGAGAAGTTCATTTTCGAAACCTAGGAGGAAAGTGCTAGAGATAATGATCACTTTTAAGTCTATTTTATAGGACTTCAGAATTTATTAATGCACTATATGGGTCGTCTTCATTTATTAGTATGTGCAGAAAACAATGATAAACTAAAACTCAAATGTTCAGTTTTTCAGCATGTAAACTATATATATATATATATTGCTTTCGGGTGAATTCAAATAAGTAGATATACCTCTTAACGAATGCCCATCAGTACAAATCTACTTGCTTTCGTGTTAAAATTAACGACTAACCAAGCTCTTATCCAGTTTATAAAGAATGGATGAGATGACAGAATCTTATGCTCTAAAATGTGAACTTGTTGTGTTGCTCTTTTTGATCAAACTAGCTTACACGTATATCCTAGTACTTATTCTCGTTTATTATTGTGCCCTAACGTTGTGTTTGCTCGACGTCCACAACGTAAATCAAAAGGCGCCTGAGAAGGTGTACAAACGTGTATTATCACAGTAATCAAAATTCAAAAGTTGAGCGAGTACAAAAGTATCAGTTGTTAACACGCAATATTTAGAGTGATAAACAAATCAAAATCCAATTACACAGTGAAAGTATACTACAAAGACGAGTAATAAAACGGGTCAATACAAACTCACCTTATATGTGTAAAATCAAACTACTTCCAACCGCATAAATCAGTCTAACGTGCTAATACATTTCACTAAACTAAGTTACCAAAGGAGTTGCTGATTGTGTTACTCATGAGCAATTGCTCCAGTTGGAACAACGACATTCAATTTCACAGCCAATACAATAGGAGAAGAGTAATCTAACCATCTCCCTCACACTTCTAAAATTACTTACAAATTACCGAATGTATACAGCTCAATGATGAGGGGTTGAGAAAACAAATCGAAAAGAATGACAAAACGTTATTTCATAAACAGATTCATGAACATAACCACTTAATAATTTCAATAACTGTTACCATAGTGACGGAAGATTAGTGACAGCATACTAAGATATTATCAAAATTCTCATTAAAAATTAATTACTTTCATCACTTAGGTTTCATTTAAGCAGTTGGAAAGAAACTTACAAAATTAAATAGATCTATTTTATCCTGCTTGACTTGTTGCTAGTAATAGAATTCACGTGTACGCTTCTAGGGTCAGATTGATTGTAGCGCAGAATGGATGAAGCTGATAAAATTGCTTTTGCATACAAATTTCTCACATGACACCAATTACATTAAGTAGGAGTAATCAGATCCAATAATGGTTGAAACTTAACATAACGGACGCACTGGGTTCACATTGTTTTTGCGTAGGAAAAACAAGAGAATTATTCAACAGTACGCACCCACCGACAGAGTTCGAACCCGGGACTTTCTAGTTACAAGGCGAGCTCGTAGACCAATGTCTTCTTCAATCAGTTACTGCCTCATCTCCAACCTGCTGTACCCCACTGGGTGAGTAGTGCTGCGGAGTCCCAAACTAGGACGAAATAGCTGTCCAGTACTCCCAGGTTTTCCAGTGGTTCTCTAACTGATCTCAGCTCATGATGAAATCCCCCATGCAATCAAACGAAAATCCTTGCAAAACCAATACCTGAGAATTGTTCAACTATTTCAATCTGGGTATTTTCAGTAGCAAGAATTTTGATACTTCTGGAAGATGAATTCAGCTGTCAGTTTACACAGTTTTTCATCTCTTTAATACTCTTAAAACTGAGTAATAATTTATTTCTTCAGCGCACACAATGTACCAATTAAAAGTAACTCAAAAGTCTCTAAAATACTAGTGGTCGACAGTGATGTACCAATTACTTCATTGTTATGCAGTATACAGTTTCAATGGTAAGAGAATTGAGAACTGAAATAAAAGTAACATTCATATTACCTAATGTTTGCCAACCATGCTGTCTTACTTAACATCTGTTCAGAGGAATTACTGTGATAAAGTTTGTAATCAAATGAACAGTTCTCTTAAAAAGTGTACACTCACCATTCAGCCATTCGTTTATATTGTGATAATCACTGTGTTATTGACTTCAGTTTGCCTTTATTTTGCTTATACTGACTCCAATCAACACAGTGCTGGATTTTCGTACATCTCAGAAAACTCTACGGTAAGCATAAATATTAATTGACAGTTTCATTTGCTTACTAAGGCAATAAAAATTTAAACAGCGACAAATACTTCAGAAGTGATTATCTCACTATTAATTAAAAGAAAAGGTTGATATATGTGTGAATCCTGTATCAGAAATGGAAGTTGATAACAACCTTATTTATTATTATATCCTTTAGTTCCTAGAGGAACATAGGGCTTCAGCCACTCGTCTCCATTGAGTTCCGTTCTATGCTAGAGTTTTCACCTAGCTCCAAGTCTGCCCACATGCTTTCATCTCCTCCTCACATGACCTCCTCCAAGTCACCCTCACGCTGACGACCAACTCACCGCTTCCCTTTAGGGTTACACTCGAGCGATGGCTTGTCTAGTGATGTCACTTGATGGTTTCCTCAAAGTATGGCCAATCCATCTCCATTTCTTCCTGCCTATTTGTTGCACAATCGGTTCCTGGTTGGTTCGCTAATTGACAGAGATGCCTGTTGCTGATCTTTTCTGGCCATCTGATCTTGAGTATTGAGCGAAGACAACTGTTAATGTTAATGAAGGTCTGAAGTTTGTTTGAGGTGCTGTTTATGACGTACCTAGTCTCTCATCCGTATAGTAGCACTGACTTCACATTGGAGTTGAAAATCCGGATCTTATTTTTGATGCTGAGTGCTGTTGACTTCCACACAGACTTAAGAGTAATGAAAGCTTGTCTTGCTTTTCCGATTCTGGCTTTGATATCCTCGTCAGTTCCACCTGTAGTTGAGACGATGCTTCCCAGGTAGATAAAGGAGGCTGTTTCTTTCAGGTTCCTCTCATTTATGCTGGTTCATTGTTGTCTGTTGTTGTTGTTGCTGTTGGTGTTAGCCAGGAATCTTCATCACCTCTGTTTTCTGTATGTTCACCTGAAGTCCTATCTTCTCTGGATGCTTCTTCTGCCAACTTGTTGCTTTTCACTTGCATATTTTCCAGTTTGTGGGAAATCAGACATATATCATCGGCGAAGTCCAGATCTTCCAAGTCTTTTGTGTCAGTCCATTTTATGCCTGTTTCCTCATTGGCCGTTGTCTGTCGCAGTATCCAATCTACTGCAATCAGGAAGATCATTGGCGATAATAGACAGCCTTGTCGCACTCCCGTCTTCACTTCAAAGGCTTCCGTAAGTTTCCCGTTGTGGATTACTTGTCATGCAGCATTGTCGTATAACTGTTGAATGAGATGTATAATTGTCGTTGGGACCCCGTAGTAGCGAAGTAGTTGCCAAATCACCTCTCGATCGACGCTGTCGAAGGCCTTTTCAAAGTCGGTGAAGTTGAGATAGAGAGGTGACTACCATTCCAAGCTTTGTTCAATGATGATCCGTAGAGTAGCGATTTGATCAATACATGATTTGTTTCTCCTGAATCCTGATAAAAACCTAGAAAGCCTTTTTGTACAGTGAAACTGTTTCACAGCTTGCATAAAATAACATGCATTTTAGTTGAGCTAAATAATCCTTGTCTTATCATTACTGTGTATGACAACCAGTGAGCTGAAGTGTGCGTTTGTGAATCCTACTCTAAAAGGAGGAATAAATAGTAGCCCACAAAAGTCTCCAGTGCCAATTGGTTCTAATCTTGTCCTAATTAATACCACATTTTGCGGGTAACCAGCATGACTTGTAATGAAATGCTGTAGATATCCAAACAAACAATCCTAACCGTTTTACTCAGGAGAAGTAACTACGACTCTCTTAAGGTAGCCAAATACCTCGTCATCTAATTTCCGGTGAGTGGCTTAGCAGGGAGCTCGTGCATGCGATGCGATCATAAAAGTAAGTCAGAGTTGATAATTTCTTTGAATTAGTTCGAAATGAGTTTTGTTTTGAGGCTTCAATACAGTGAGTTCATTACTTTTCAATTTATTTATCGTTTAACTGAAGCAGTATGACCCAGGATGAAGTGGAGATTTGTTATTTTCCAATGCGTTTTTTGTTAAAATTTATTCGGTTGTTGATTTAGTTGAAACGAGTGAAACCATAGATCATGCTTATTTTGGCATTCTAAGAGTAGAACACGAGTGAAACCACAAATCCGAAAATTCCTCTCACTCTATGGTAGATTATTGACACAGTAGTTTTACTGACATAGCAATACACTGAAATATTTCATTCGAAATGTTTAGTTGAGAAAAAAGGATAAATGTGCAGTTAAACTTTGATGAAAGTGTCTATTGTCCACCCTTTTGTGCATAGATACCAATGAAAATAGGACATGAAAGTATAGTTAGTTCAAACTTATATTTTTTTAAGAACATCAGTCTTTCCACGGATCTGGCAGTTTCTTTCAGGGTTGAGGTCGAAATTTATAGCATTACATGAATTTAGAATTGTATACTGTGCATTAATTAGAGGTGGAATACCCAGATATCAAGCTCTGACAAAATATCCCAATCATGACATATTGATTCGTTTGTTCAGTGTGTCGCACATTAAACAGTATTGTTTACTAGATGGCGTTTCGAACACAATTTATTGTTCATAATCATATCACTTGCAATTGCACAACTTCGAAATCTACCATCCTCACGACAAATGGTTAGAAAAACGTGAACTTTAGAAATGGAATTTCGAAGTTGTGTAATTACACTTAAAGTGATTATGAACAATAAATTGTTCTCAAAACGTCATCCAGTAAATAATGCTGCTTCACTACGTGATATATGACCGATAAACAAGTGAATGTGGCATTATAAACCATCACTACCAAGATTTACATATATTATTGCTTAGTCATGTCATCGAATCCCCTCATATCTCTAGTGACGTTGAAAGACTGCTGACTGAAGCACTGATATCTGAATATTTTATCCCTTTATAGGTGTTCCACAAAACGTTTCAAGGTAAAAGATGTTTACAAAATAGTTTATTATTATGCAATTCGAAATCTGCTGTTTCAACTAGCATCAATTATACTGTTCTACTGTTGTTCATTCCAGTTAAAATTCCCAATTTCTATTGTTGTTTAGGCGATTTTTGTGTTGGTGTTGTATATTAGCGTTCATCTAATGTGAAATAATTCCAGGATTAATCATGGGCTGATATCAGCTACAGAACATACAGGTGTTAGACACGTTATTCCCGGATTATCATAATCACTATGTCTCCTTATTTATTCAATTATTGCGTTTATGCCTTAAAGAAGAAGTGGAGTAAGCTATATTAAGGTGTAGCGGTAGGTAATTCCCCAGAATTATTAACCACAATGTTTATCACTGAACATTGGATTCTGACCCTCACTGTTTAAGTCAACTTGTTTGGCTGAAGGCTTACGGTCAAGCATCCACGCCATTTGACACGCCGTCGTGTTACATTCATTCACTAGTGAACAATCCCTAGCTAGCTAAGCAATCATCTGACACTCCGATTTGGTCTTTAAATATAGTTCGTAATTTGACCGTTCAATTATGGTGTTTTGCTTTGCCTTTGGTCTACGCGGAAGGAATACTATAGAAGTCGTGTGTATTAGGTCTTGCGTTAGTATACTTCGTACTATCCGTTAACGTCAACACCCTTGGGCTCTAAAAAGGCTTAGTACTGAGACTCGCTATACAATCTTGAAATTGCCTACAAGGTGATCTATCTGAATGCTTTTAATAATGTAGGATTATGCAAATGCCAGTGTAGATACCACAAACTCTTAAAGCCTTTTGTTTATTTTGATCATGATCAATTTGTTACCTTTAGAACTGTATACATACCGGCAGTTATCACGAGGAAAAATATATAAATCCACTTTTGGTCATCAGTTCTTTTCTTTAACATTCTGTAAAACTAAGATCTTATATTTTGTGAAAGACCACTGAGATTTCTCTCACTTTGGTAATGCTCTCTTAGTTACAACCGAAAATATAGGAAAAAAAACTGGCAATGGTCGATCGACAGTTTCTGTCACAGTTCAGATGATCTTTTTAAAAAGAACGATACTGTTTGTTTAATTAGTCGTATTTTTTTTATTAAAATGGTAGAAGGAGATTAAACCTGTGAGTTAGTACTATTCCTGCTTTGATTGTTATCAAAAATTCAAACGTGTCGCTTATTTGTTCGTATTGGTATTATTTGCTTTGATGAGTGAAATCTTTTCTAGGATAACCTTCAGTGGATAGTATCCAGACATCCTGCGGGTGCGAAGCCATTCATCAAATTGCTGCTACCTGATGTTCTTCCAGCAACCATAAATAAAGTATGTAAATGTGTTTTTTCCCTTTGGTAAGGTTCAGACATTTCGTGGGTCATACATACTAAGTGTGTCGATAAAATATAGTATTTTTTTAAAAACTGAGTGATACTGAATCCCTACTTATGTGTAAGGAAGGTTGCTGGCTGACAACGGTAGTTGGTCATTGTCGTTTATAATTAAATGACAGATATAAAATACATGGACCATTAGACTTCGTCATAGTGGTTAAAAACGTATTGTAGGATTTCATGATCTTTGCCATTTAGCCCGCATATAGAGATATGTACTCTCTGCTGGGAATAATCAAAGAAAAAAGTGGTATTTCAAAAATCTCTTGCTTTCAGTCTTTTCACCGATGATACTTATTTCTATTGGTGACTATATGGTTAAATTTCATTCCAGAAAATCAAGTGGTTTCTGATGATATTAAATGGTTGGAGGCAGTCGGTCACAGGAAGCCTTGCACCTGGGTTTCATGCTAGTTGGCACTCACATGTCAGAAAGGCGTATCAGCAACCTTGAAGGAACTTGTTTCCCTTCTGAGATTCGAACCCGCATCACCCAGTGCTGCAGTCAGTAACGTTACCACTGAGCTATTCGGACTCAGTCCCACAGGAGGTCACTCGTGAGCCCGAATACCTTAGTGGTAATGTTACTGACTGCAGCACTGGGTGATGCGGGTTCGAATCTCAGAAGGGAAATGAGTTCCTTCAAGGTTGCTAATGCACCTTGCTGACGAGTACCAACTAGCACGAAACCCAGGTGCAAGGCTTCCTATGGCCGATTGCCTCCAACCGTCTAATATCATCAAATCAATGTGCACCGTGATGGCGAGCTACCTAGAATGGTGGCCACATTGCAAACCTGACTGACAGAATTCAGTCTGCACCAAAGAAAGGGCTAGACGCATAACACTAGTTACTAGTGTCCAATCAAAGTGGTTTCCAATGGTGAGTTGTGGTGTGTGTCTTACGATAACCTAACCTGAAGATGAAATATCTGTGTTTCATACTTGAAAAAGAGGAAAATTTTACCTTATTGAAGAAATCATCACTTTTCAGGTTTGTAAAGCTTCAGAGGAATATTGTTTAACATGAAGTATGCTGTAGACTTAATAACTGTAAGATAATGAATGAAGCTGTTTTAGACAGACTATAATACATTGTAAACTTAATTCGAAGTCCTATTCGGTGCAAAACAACATAACAGCTAAACATACAAAATAAAATGTACTCATCTGGTACCTTATTTACAGGGCACAATCGTTCAAGTTTATCAAATTTAATTGGTTGGAGGATTTAGTTGGAGAAATTATTTCATTAATTGGTGGAAATTGACATTGTTGTTCCGTTGACACTTCAAAAGCTGTTGCATAGGCGATGCCATTTGTAATTGTAGGCTATAGTCTGAAATCAAGTTAGTTAATCTCAAAATATGCAGTTCATATTGAAATTTATTCTTAGTTTTCATACAATATGCTAACTGCTTGACATTAAAAGTAGTGTAAAAACCGTGAGCATTGATGCAGTACAGTATGAACTACTGATTTGTGTCATTAGCTGGGGTCGATTCATCTCAGCCTAGCTGGCGAGCACTACTTGTTGATGAGACTCATTTCAAACGTCTCATACTGATCAGCAGCGTACGTCATGTAGTCTGAATATGGTCTGAAATTCATCTATTTGGTGCCAGAGTTTGATTACGATGGAACCTTTTGTTTAGCAGTAACCCTGAGGTTATGGAAAATAAATTCTAGGTGCGATTTTACACCTGGTTGGATTTTATCGAATGGAATTGCTTTTCCAAAATAAAACCACATCATTCGAAGACGTGATAAAAACACCACAGTAAAACGCGTCACAGCAAATAACTGACTGTTTTAATAAAACCTATAAAATGGATGTCAGTTGGGATATTTTATCGTGGTTAAAAAATTCGGAAAAGCCAGGTTTATCAGCAAATACATCAGCATGGGTGAATATTGTTTTGAATTTTTACTTTCTTGTCTTCATTTGAACTTATTTGTCAGGCTAATTTGATGGTCTGATTCTTCTTGTGACTGCCCATTTGTCAAAAATTATATTATGGATCCTCTGAGTGAACTACTAAACCGTTTGTAATTATATAATGAACTTAAATTCTGATAAAGTCGCTCAAGTCTAAACTGCACGGTGCTGAAGTCGCTGCTTGGTGGTCTGAAACTATTTCGACTCGTTTACATCATCAATTTAATATGGAGTGAGTGTCGAAAACTGTTCAGATATTGGGTCGGATTTTACTGACTGATAATTATCATTTGATTCGACTTGCATTGAGGCTGAGAATCAAACGTACCTAGAAGACAATGGACACGTAAACACAAAAGTTAATACTGAATATTTCATTGATAGTCTATAAGTGTGGTGGAGAGATTCCACCCTGATTATTGATTAAATGGCATTATTCTCAAGATTTTGAAATCACCTACACAAAAGTTACTAATAATTGCGAGACGAAATTTCATGGTAAACTCCTTTTAGTCATTCTATTTCACAGGTTCTCATCAGCTGCAGACTACCTGAAATCACAATGGTTTTATAGATGATAATAACATAATTTAATGTTTGAGTGGTGGTAGAGAAGAAATACTATAAAATTGATGTATCTAAATGAAAGCATTACAATTTTTTTAGTTTAAGTTTCCATCATCAATTTATACGCTTTTAAAGTTGAAAAGAGGGGGAGGGGTAAGACAGAAAACAGAAAAATTGATTAACAGAACAGTGTTAGCTTATAGGTTCACATAGCAACTCAAGAAACAAAAGCGGTTACAGTTTATGAGATTAAGATTTGTTCAGTGAGTTGAGATCACTGAATTAGATGACTAATCAAAATCAAAATTCTGTTACCAAGGGAGTGAGAGGTTAATCACACTCTCTTTCTGTATGCATAAGTCTGGTTTAAGTCTTTTGATTGCGATTGCTTCGGCAAATCGTAGTAAATTTGCTGTCCTTTGTCTATTTAATATTTTGAAGGACTTAGAAATCTCTACGAGATGTCCGGTATCAATAATGTGTCTGGTAATTGCACTCTGGGAATATCTGCTTCCTTTCAGGCACAGGTTTCTTGGAATATGTTCAGAAAACCGGATAGAAGCCCTTCTTTCTGTCCTTCCAATGTACTTGCTCTCGCAAGTGCACGTGAATTCATAAACGCAGTTGGAGGTGACATCAGCAGGGTATTTATCCAGTTTTGAGTGAATTAAAGGAGTGGTGCTGTATACTGTTATGAGTTTTGCTGCCGGGAAGCTTCTATTTATTGCACCTTTCAGTCTTTTGTCAATCTTTTGTGACACTGCATCTCCTTTGTATGGTAGACAAATAAACACTTTTTTCTTTTCTACAGTTGGATGCTTTTCTTTCTTATCTTTTTCTCTGCTATACTTCTGTATAAATCCCTTAGGGTATCCATTTTCCCTTAGGCATTTCTCGACGAAATCTAATTCTTCTTCGACCTGTTTGGTGAACATAGCTTCCTGGCTCTGTCATACAAAGTCCTCACTAATCCACGTTTATAGCTTATGGGACAAAAGCTGTTATAGTGAAGATATTGTCCAGTCCAGGTTTCTTTTCTATAGATGGACTTTTCGACCGTGCCTTCGTTTGTTCTTTTTACATTTAGATCCAGGAAATTGAACTCATTATTATGTTCATATTCCATGGTGAATTTGGTATTTGGATGTATCTCATTTAGGCGATCATATAGTGCCGATGCGTGATCCATATCGTTGCAAACAACAAATGTGTCATCAACATATCGGCGATAGTAGGTTGTTCCATTGATAGCAGAACTTAGTTGTGTCTGCTCAAGGTAGCCCATGAAGATATCAGTCAGGATAGTTCCCAGAGGCAAACCCATCGTGCCCCCATCGATTTGTCGGTGTCAGTGATCTCAACTCACTGAACAAATCTTAATCTCATAAACTGTAACCGCTTTTGTTTCTTGAGTTGCTATGTGAACCTATAAGCTAACACTGTTCTGTTAATCAATTTTTCTGTTTTCTGTCTTACCCCTCCCCCTCTTTTCAACTTTAAAAGCGTGTAAATTGATGATGGAAACTTAAACTAAAAAAATTGTAATGCTTTCATTTAGATACATCAATTTTATAGTATTTCTTCTCTACCACCACTCAAACATTAAAGTATGTTATTATCATCTATAAAACCATTGTGATTTCAGGTAGTCTGCAGCTGATGAGAACATGTGGAATAGAATGATGATATCATTTTATACTGCAAATTTCGTCTTCCTTTCTTTATCGAAATTTATCAAGTTAACCAAATGTATAAATCCTTTTAGTCACTTATAAGCATCTGTGTCTTTGATTAGTTGGAGGATTTCATCGTGAGCTGACATCAGTTACAAAACCATTGGAAAACCTGGGAGTACTGGACATCTGTTCATATCGTCCTATTCTGGGACTCTTCATCGGGTTCGAACCCAGGACCTTCTGGTTACAAGGCGAGCTGGCTCGTAGACCATTAAGCCACTGGGACCTAACCCTATCCAATGGCCAACCCATAAATTCCAACTTCTGCCAGCCAATTTATGACATAGCGCGACCACTTCTCAATATATTCTTCGGGGAATTACTGCCTCACTTTCAACCTGCTGTACCTTACTGGTCACGGCTTCCCACTGGAACCCTAGGTTAACTACCCGAATAGGAGCAGTCACTAGCGTGTTTTAGTTTAATTTCTAAGTATTCGTTTTGTAGCCAATTTTGTCTGATTGGTTGGAGGATTTCATCATCTATGTCTTTCTTGAGTTAGATAAATGAGTCACGAACAACTTTGATGTATACAGAAGTAAACAAAAAGTGTGGTAAAAATAGACATAACACATTTGTGGTAGTGTCAGTTTTACCAGTTTTATTATGACACATAAAAGAGAATCAGTTTTAGTACAAAGGTGTACATCATGGACTGAGAAGTCACTCTTCACTCCTGTGAGATTCAATTCCACCGCTAAGAGATAATTTGGTTATTTCATACGCAAGTAGATTAGCCAGTATGCATATGTGTGATGGTGGCAATGTACATAATTTTAATGCATTTTCCTTCCAGGTTATTATTATTGATGTTGACATGCTTTTTAATGCTGATATTGTTGAGTTATGGAATCATTTTGAAAACTTTCAAGGAACTCAGGTTAGTTGGGTCATAAATTTTCAATAAATTTTAACTGCTATCATACGGGGGTTGGAAGAAACAAAAGACATTTTATGTCAAACAGTTAGAAAACAGAAAGATTGAGCGAAGAAATATTTACTTTTCAATTAGATCCTCATCTCTGGCTCAATTTTAATATTTATATATAGCATTTTTATTACAATACACAGCAGTTTACCAATCAAGTGGTGGTATGCTTGATAACAATAATTAGTCAGTGTCAAAATGTCAATGGGTTGATAATTAACGAAGAAAATCAATACACACAGTTAAAAGATTACAGCTTGATTCCACACTGTATTTTTGGTACAAGTATGGAATTTTCAGCATGTGATATCGGTAGCCCAAATTTTGCAGGCCGATCATAGATATCAGGTGTGAGTCGACAGGGGATCGAACTTCGGACCGTGTGCATGGTCGGCAAAAATCCTAACCACTGTGCTACCGGTGAATTAATTTTACAAGGATAACGCGTAATTAAAGATGAAGTGGTCAGAAAAAATAAATAAAATAATTTGGACAACTATAATTTTTAAATGTTTGTGGGGAGGGGGGCGAAGTAGTCCTATTTATGCATTCTTGTAACGATGGCCAATGTGAGGAAAATGGCAGTACAAATTTCTTCTAAACGCACAGGTTCGGCTTCTTCAGGTGGATTCCTATTGCTTCAGCTGTATGTAGAAGAGGAACTTGTAGAGAAAAATTAAGATTAGTAGGAGAAAGTTAGAAAACATGGAGGAGTAAATTCTTTTAAAAATTATGTATATATGTACAGTGATACGGAAACAAAGAGTAAATTGTCATGCTTGGTATTTTAATCATTTTCGTTTGGTTCCACATATTCACAAATCTACTTCACAACATATCTGCATTTCTCGTGCAAGAGCTTTGAATTCATTTAAGACGAAGCCTCACATTTCAGTGTCTGACGTGTTGGGACACTTGAGTAAGTCATATATTTGGTCTTCAGGATATGAGTTTTTTCCGTGAGACATCAACTGATGTCATTAAGCATTGAAGCTGGCCGTAGTTGACTATTAACTATGACCAGATTAAAGTAGTGTGTGATACCTGTTATGTCTTGAAACAGGCTACAATCAACATTAAAAATTAGTAAGTCATATTACATGCTATCGCTCAATAAGTTCGTGTATAAGCAGATATCTGTGTTCCAGAAAAACCATATAAATTCTACAAATGTACACATTGTTCAACAGAATTATTTCACCGTTTAATTTTCTTCACGAAAACTACATAATCTTCATTTTTCTAATGATTATGTTGTAAGTACTCAAATGATTGGTTTCGATCGCCTTCGCACATTTGTCTAGATATTTAAGGGTTGACACGAAACTATTACTGAAAAGATTGCAGTACAAAAGTCTGATTATTTGGCAGCATACTGGTTAGAATACCTGAAATTCAGTAATTCATTATAATGAAGTAACGAGTTTCTTGTTGCCTTCTCTGCATCGGATTCTACTTCATCCAAATAAAATACAGGAGAACATTGATAAAAGTGTGAAAATGGATAAGTCTATATAAATAAGGTTTTTAAGGGATAACCTCTGATTAAAAGTGAATGGCTCGTAAACTTTCCGATTAAGATATTTGCCAAGGTACTTCATATTTGTAAAAACAATATGGAATTTCAAAACTCTGTGATTATGTTGTCGTAATTAATATGAATACAAAAATGAGATCTAAACCTTAAGATATCTGCTGACTATCATAAACTATATCTACAACTTAAGCTAGACCGGCTTTTTGTTGCAAGAAGTATATTTATCCATTATGATGTCCTTTTGATCAATCTGATTTCTCATGATCTAGCATTTTTTTCCTTCACGTTCCCAGTGGAATATAGGGCCTCAAGCTAGTGGCTTGAACTTTCTGTAGCAGTGATGATTCTTTTTACAGGATGGGGTTGCTAGCCTCATGCCAAACCTTTCCTCTTTACCAGCGTTATTTATGGCTTAGCGAGGTAAATAAGTGGGTCGGACGGGGATCGAACTCCGGACCATGTGCATGGTCGGCGAGCGTCCTAACTGCTGTGCCACCGACGCCATAATATACCATAAATTATGCATATTTCGTTAAGAATTAAATGAATACTATCAATTCAAAACAAAGGGAAATTGATTGATTAAGCTAACAAGAGAAAGTCATGTTACTAAAATATTTCATAGGAGTGAAATGCAATCAGATACAGTAAGATTAATAGAAGCTTTTGCTGTGAAAATCACTCAAAGAACCAGGCCAATGACTAAGTCCAAAATTGTAAGGAATATTTTGATCTTCAGGACACTCGAATCAAGAGCAACTTAGGCTGGTGATCACAAGGTCTACAAAAATCCCCTTGATCAAAAGTCTTCCTGGTAACCTTGGTAATAAGTATTTATTTGGCAGCTATGAAAAGTAACTCTTCAAGTGAGTTAATTTTAAACTCCACTATGAAAACAAACATCATTCCTGAGAAAATAACCTTTTTATTGAAATAGGTGGGAAGAGGGCAGCTATTGGTTTAAGAAGTGAACCACAAGAGCAGCTTCACATTGATATAAACTCTTTCCATAATGAAAGACAATGAAAAGTAATTGTCATACTCAATTCTATTCACTTTCATATCTTCTATGAGTCATATTTTAACAAAGTAAACTCGAAAATGAAAACCCGCGTAAACGTTTGTCTTCAAGTCATTTCAGTAATTATCAAAGTATATTTTCACAGTTATAATTAGTGTTCACTAATCGCAAGCGTGTTTATAATTCGGCAAATGAAAGAAGACAAAATATCTTAATTATATTTAATTAAAAAAACATTACATGCTGGAGGATAAATATGTATCCACTGCTAGTAAGCTGGAGAAGAGCAGAGTGTCTGACCATGCTAGATGTGAACTTCACATTTCAACAGACAATCAGTGTTAATCAAGCCTGTGAACTTCATTAAAATTTACTTAATTGTTTTAGTACTATTCGTATTGTTTTAATGACGAATTATACGAAAGATTTCTTTTCATCGTGCTAAACCTGAGACTCTGACTGCACGTAAGAAACCTCTATTTATTAAGTTACAGTTTAATGGTGACTTATCAAGTGAGATTCTCTTCCAAAGACTTTCAAGGAGTATACAAAGAACATTTTACGCAGCACACCTATGTTTGTCATTCTCTAGCCAACGAATGATTGGGATGCAAACGAAGGATAAGCTAGATAGTTTTGCCACATCTATGTGTATTTATCAATTCAACTGCACCTGCGGTGACAGTTATGTTGGCCGTACTACTAGACAGCTTAGCCAACGTGTTAGTGAACATTTCACATCGTAGTTTGGCAAAGGACGGACAAAAACAATCCGTAGCTCAATTTTGTCACATTTAACTGATAGTGGTCATGCAGTGGAGAAAACGAGAGCCTTCAAAGTAATTCGTCGTATCCCACCGAATCTTTCCAATAGACTTCGTATTCGTCTGCTGCACACAGCTGAGGCGATAGTCATTCGAACTAAAAATGAGACTGTCTAGTAAATTCACCCTGTATTAGATGCAGTTGGGTGTTAAAGATGTACTATAAAGTAATGGTGGTAAGAAAACACAGAAAATAAAACTTTAGAATTTTAGTGTACACTGACAATAGAATGCATCTAAATTTGTAAAACTATTCCAATGTTTTACAAGGAATTGGCATACACTGTGAATTAAAAAAATAGTGATTCATTTTTGCCTAGATTTTGTTAAAACGAAGAATAATATTCACAGTTTCTATCTATCTGAAATACAGGATGCTTATCGATGGTGTTTGCTTACAAAATCAGCATAGAATATTCTTGACTGCATGAGCAAAAAACACTGAATTTTTGAATAACTTCTGAAAATAAACTGAAATTATAGAAAAACAGTCAAAAGTTTAATTTCTTGCTACCTAACACTTGACTCGAAATTAATGGCTTTCAGGGCAAATTAAAAGCTGGTTCACGGATCATCGAATCCTGGCTCAAGTGTCTGAATGATCAACCAGCTTGGTGTCGTATCCTAAAGGTCACGGATTGGATCCTTTGTGGGGTCATAGGCGAGCACTGCACAAGAGTCCCAAACTAGAACAGCTCCTCAGTACTCGCTGGTTTTCAATGACCTCTAATTGGTTTTGGCTTGCAACGAAATCTAGACTGGAATTAATCCATATTCCTACAGAAACTCATAATCTAAAGAGAAGTATAAAGTTTCTGGTGTCATCTCAAAATAAAATCAGTCAAAACTTTAAATATAAACGTATCTTAGTGCTCAGCATGCTATTAATGCTGCTACAACTTTATTGAGTTAATTAAGTATGGACAATGCCAGTTGCCCTACTTTTATCTTCATCCTTTTGCTCTAATAAATTCCGCTTCGATTACGTCATCAAGCGAAAGTGATGAAAAGGCAGTGGTCGGCTAATAAACATTAGAGTAAAAACCCCTGACACTTGTTAACATACATTACCAGTGAATCTCATAAGTATGATGGGTGTCAATTTTAGTTGTTTTCTGACCAATAATTTCAACGAAGCAACCATTTAATTGCAGAGACATTTTTTTTTGAAAACTGCCTTAACATTATCGTCGATATTATGCATCCAGGCAAACTTTGAGGTAACCTTATCATGTTTTTCTTTGCGAAGATGATAGGTATGGCTGTAGAGCAAAATCCTCATTTCCATTTCGTGATGAAGAAACTGATCAAAGAATGGAGAGTAAGTTTAAAACTTTCATGCATATATATATATAAACAACCAGCCATTGATCATAGGTTATTTATGTGTAGATGCTTTGGGTATTCTCAGATTTCTATGCTAAATCCTCTCATTTCTTCTGCAATCTGAGCAGCCCTGCCAGTTAGCCCAAGACATGGCGCTGAATTTCAATGTCCCTGTGCTTACTTTCGCTCTCTTCAAAAGAAAATACCTTTTTCGACTAGATTTCCTAAGCTTTTACTCTTCAGCAGTGGTGATGATATATTTTTTTACGGAGTGTGGTTGCTAACCTCACACCCAATCTTCCATCTTTACGAGGCCTAGAATGGGTCGGTGAGGTAGGCCAGGTTAACAAATGTAGAACGATTCACAATTTTGTCTGTTATCCTTGCACAAGAGTTAAGCGAATCTCTGTGTCGTCCAGTATTGAACTGATCCGACAACACAGTTATTGATGTTGAGTAGTTGAAGGCGGTTAGCAGAAATCCCTGGACCTAGGTTTTGTGCATCTTGGAGCTCATCAGTAAAGCGTGCCTGCTAACTTAGAGGAACTCATTTCCCTTCTGAGAATCAAGGCTGCGTAACTTACTGCTGTATTCAGAGTCATTATCAGTAAGCTATTCGAGCACATTTTTATGACTACTAGATTAGCTCATTTAAAAATAATGTCTGATCTCTACTTGTATATTTGAAGTTTTAATAAAATTTAAAGTCTATTAATGCCTATTGTGCCCCCAAGTTGTGCAAAAATGTCAATTCAGGGCACAGTCACACGTAAACTTTCGTAGTTTAGAAAAGCATGAAGAATCATCATAATTTAATTAATGCAATTAATATAACATTTCTTCTGAATACATTTTATGTCAGGGCTACGGATACAATGGTGGAATTTTATTATTTGATCTGTTCAAACTACGATCCATCATGTGGAATGAAATTTGGATTAGTGTAACTGCTTACCTAATGGGTAGTAAGGGTTATTTAGAAACTGGGGAACAGGTAAGCTGGGGGGTATTTCATGCATGCTTGTATAATTCTGAAATCGGAAATTCACTTGACTGCGTTAAATATTACTGTATTTAATTTCATAACAATTTGTGTTGTTTGTCTATAATTTATATAGTTGATAGCATAACGCATGCTATGATACTGCTCAAATGCATCAGAATAAATATGTTAAATCTCTACTGTACTCATAATCTTCCATTTTTGGAAAATTCTCACTGTGTATTCAAAATAAGAGATATTTTTGAGTGAACAGTTGTTTCTAGTATGTTCCTCTCCAGATTCTAGAATTATGAATTCGTATTTACTATCATACAGTAGTCAACATTCTCTTCATTTTGTACTAGACATGTGTCATTCACTTAAGATATGTTTAAACACTCCGCGCCTTGGCATATTAAATCAATAAGTGAGTAGTGAAATTATACGGAGATGGATGCAAACGGGAATCACTGAAAACGTGACAGCACTGGACAGTTGTAATGAACAGTTTTTTTTTCGGAACGAAGCTGATGTATGTAAGATATACAACTTTTAGTTTGTAATATTACAAGTTTTATCCATTCTATGGCATTTCCAACTGAAATAACTAATTAAAATGTTGTTGAAACTTCATATGAACGAAAATCCACTTACTATCGCGTAAAATATGATAACAGCAAATTATATTCTAATCTCTAAGTCATTTTGTAAAAATTAGCCTTCCTTATACTAAGAAGTAGGCGAAGGGGAAGTTTTGAATGAAAGGGATGCTTGTCAAATGTTATAAAAGTATTCCCTTATTTTCATGATTTAAAACATTTATCCACCCATGTGCTCAGTATACAAATTAGAAATGCACCAAAAGCCATAAAAATTAAATGGTCAACAGAGTATAAGAAAAACTGATTAATTATTGAATCACAAAAGTAGAAGTTGGGTTGTACTGAAAAATCATAGCTGTCTAATATGGTAACATACATTGGAATAGAGGAAAAATCCGAAGATAGGTATGACTGAAGATCACATTGGATACGTTTTCTGCCACAGGAATTGTGGAACATTCTTATGAAAATAATCTGATTAAATAAATACCTGTAGGATATTTTGGTTTGAGTGATCACTGTAAAACTGGGAGTACTGGACAGCTGTTTCGTCCTAGTTTGGGACTCTTCAGCAGTACGCATCCACCGGGGTTCGAACCCAGGACCTTCTGATTACAAGGTGAGCTTGTAGACCATTGGGGCTCTTGGACCCGAGCTCGCCTTGTAACCAGCAGGTTCCGGGTTCAAACTTCGATGATGAGGAGTCCCATACCAGGACGAAACAGCTGTCCAGTACTCGCAGGTTTTCCGATGGTTTTGTAACTGATGTCAGCTCATGATGAAATCCTCCATACAATCAAACAAAATCCCTACAAAACCAATATTTGGAAATTGATCACTGTAAGTTAAAATTAGCCTACAACACATGAAACATTGAATCAAACATTATCGGTGCTTAATTTCTGTTCCAGGATGTAATGAATATGGTTGTATTCAAGTATGCAGACCTTCTATATGAAATACCATGTCAATGGAATGTTCAACTTAGTGCTGGAGCAGATATTACCAGGTGTCCAATCAGCTGGTTAAGTCCGGTTGAATTAAGAAAGAGCAATTATTCTACAATTCACAAACAACCAAAACTTATACATTTTAACCATCATTCAAAGCCAGAAAATAAAAAGAATAAAAACTTGCGTCTACTAGAAAGATCGGTCAGTCAGATGTACTACTTTCAGGTAAGTAGAAGTAAACACCATAATATTTTGTTACAGATTTCATCGAAAAAAACTATGCACTTGTTGCTTGTATAACAATGAACGTTTCTTTCTTCTGACTAAATATGTCCACCTTGTTACTGATTACCTTTGAACATCTTATATTCAAAGATAGGACTGCAGGTGAACGTAGATAAAACAGAGGTGATGAAGATTTCTGACCAACACCAATAGCAATAACAACAACAACAACAGACAACAATCAGCATAAATGGGAGGAACCTGAAAGAAACAACCTCCTTTACCTACCGACAAGGGAAGCATCATTTCAACTGCAGGCGGATGGAACTGAAGAGGATATCAAAGCCAGAATCGGAAAAGCAAGACAAGCTTTCATTACCCTTAAGCCTGTGTGGAGGTCAACAGCACTCAGCGTGAAAAAGTCACATCCAAATTTTCAACTCTAATGTGAAGTCGGTGCTACTATACGGATCAGAGACTAGGTACGTCATAAACAGCACCTCAAACAAACTACAGACCTTCATTAACAGTTGTCTTCGCTTAATACTACTCAAGATCAGATGGCTGGCCAGAAAAGATCAGCAACAGGCATCTCTGGCAATGAGCGAATCAACCAGGAACCGATTGTGAAACAAATAAGGAGGAAGAAATGGAGATGGATTGACCATACTTTGAGGAAACCATCAAGTGACATCACTAGACAAGCCATCGCTCGAGCGGAACCCTAAAGGGAAGCGTCGAGTAGGTCGTCAGTGCGAGGGTGACTTGGAGCGGGGTGAAAAAGTTGGCAGAAAACCGAGCGCAATGGAGACGCTCGGCTTAAGCCCTATGTTCCTCTAGGAATTAAAGGATATAATAATAATATATAATAATATCATATTCAGTGAAAATGCACCACCATGAGGATTCAAATTACTTGGTGATCTCATAGCAAACTTTACTAACAGAGTTTAGTCAGTATTTTAAGACTAAAACTTCACAGTGATCACTTGATGTGAAAGAAGAATTTGGGCAGTATGGTAAAATATAAGTTCAAACTAGACCGGACTTAACTAGTAAGAACACTGTTTATACCTTAGTAACAAATCAGTTTATTTGTTACAGATCTACTGCCGCTGAGTCCCAGCTGAAATAGCTTAGTAGTAAAGTCTGTGATTTTAGTACCCGATGATGGGCGTTCGTACCTCCGAGGTGGAAATAGACCCATCTGGACTTACCAGTTAATTTCGATCATCTAAAATGAAGTAAAGTCTGCCATAAAAGTTTCCAGGCATCCTCGTCAACTTTTCGTCATTAAGTTTTCTGACATTCTCAGGAATAACTTTATTGTTAGGTGAGGTATGTTTTTCAGTTGCATGGTAGTTTTTTCCCTGTTTAGATTTTGTCTTACTGTCAGAGAGCCACGCAGCAGCCAAATGAGTCAACAATTAAGAGCAGTGAAGACAAAAAAGGAGAACAAAATTTACATTATAACAAAAATATTCTGTAAGGTAATCCAATGAAATTTGAGATTATAGACGTTATCGTGATAAAAATCTCTTCCCACACTCATAGCCTGATGAAATACAGGGGTTCGGCAAGAAGGATATACATATATTTACACAATTTTTCATTGTCCGATTTCCAACGTCCACGAGCTAATATCTAAGTTTAGAGAACAAAAACTCAGTGTTCTACTACACATAAAATCGAATTAAGCTTGACCTCAGTCAGTAAACAGTTGCTACATTCTGACTAAAATTTCACTTAACGGCTGTATAATCGATCCTGAAGTCTGTACACATTTTGTAACAGTAAAAAAATAATATAAATACCTTCAAATTATAATCACTTCAACAGATTAGTGTATGTGAATTTACAATAGCTTCAATTATCCAAGGCAAACTGAAATTGTGGTTAAATCACTTCGCTTTATACAATTAGCAGGCAAGCTGTACTTTTTCCTAGTATTTCTCGCCTGAGTTTTTTTTCAGCAACAGACAGTTGTGTGACTTCGATGATTTGCACCACATGAACTAGATACTAGTAAGGTTCATAAAATCCACTGGAATTTAGATAATGAAATTAAAATTGGTTCAATGTTTTTATTAGACATAAATGTATTAGCAACTAGCTGATAAATATTAGATATCTAAAAATAGTTTTTTCTTCACGTTCCCAGTGGAACATAGGGCTTCAAGCTAGTGGCTTGAAGTTTCTGTAGCAGTGTTTGTTTTACAGGATGGGGTTTCTAGCCTCATTCCCAACCTTTCCTCTTTACCAGCATTATTTCTGGCTTAGAGAGGTAAATGAGTGCGTCTGTGGCCGGGGATCAAACCCGGACCATGTGCATGGTCGGCGGGCGTTTAACCGCTGTGCCGCCGACGCCATTTAAAAAGAGTATTATTATTACTATTGCTCCCTTGGGTTCCTAGTGGAACATAGGGCTTCAACTGCACGTCTCCATTTGCTTCTGTCTTCTGCTGTACTTTTCGCTTGCATCCATGTTCGTCCATATTCTTTCATCTCCTCTTCACACCATCTCCTCCATGTCACCCTTGGACGTCCCACACGCCGCTTCCCTTTCGGGTTCCACTCAAGGGTTTGACGCGCGATGTCACCCAGCGGTCTCCTCAGTGAGTGTCCGATCCATCTCCACTTTCTCCTGCATATTTGTTGAGCGATTCGTTCTTGTTTTGTTTCTTCCCATAGTTTCCTGTTGGTGATTCTTTCCGGCCACGGCCATCTGATCTTCAGTATAGAGCGGAGACAGTTGTTAATAAAGGTCTGCAGCCTTTTGGAAATATACTTTGTGAACCGCCCACCAAGTTTCTCATCCGTATAGAAGAACTGACTGACTTGACGTTTGTATTGAAAATCCGACCGAATTTTGTTGTTGATGCTGAGTGACGAGCTGATTTCCAGATTGGTTTCAGGTTGATGAATGTGTTTCTCGACTCCCCGATTCTCGCTCGATTTGACATCCTCCTCCGTTCCGACTTCCTGTAGTAGAGACAATGCTCCCTAGATAAGTGAGTGAACGAAGTAACCTCTTTCAAATCAATCCCATTGATGGTGATTGGCGCTGGATGTTGGTGCTGTTGCTGTTGTTGGTGGTTGGTTATTTTCCTCACCTCCATCTTGTCTATGTTCACCTGGAGTCCTGTCTTCGCCGGCTGCTTCTTCGACCAGTTTGTCGGTTTTCGCTTGTAAGTCTTCGATTTTGTGATGAAATCGAACATAAATCATCCACGCGCGAAATCCAGGTCTTCTAGGTTCTTCACGTCGTCGGTCCAGGATATCCCTGTCTTCTCGTTTCCCACTTGTCTGACGCATAATCCAGTCAGTCCACTACAATTAGGAATATCATTGGTGATAATAAGCACCCTTGTCTGACTCCTGTGTTTACTCCAAACGCCTCGCTGAGTTTTCCGTTGTGGATCACTTGACATGTGCCGTTGTCGTACAGCTGTTGAATAAGGTTGATGAATATTTGGGGTACGCCGTAGTACTCGAGTAGTTTCCAAATTACTTCACGGTCAACGCTGTCGAAGGCCTTCTCAAAGTCTATAAAGTTGAGGTAGAGGTTTGATTGCCATTCCATGCTTTGTTCTGTGATGATGATGCGTAGAGTTGCAATTTGGTCAGTACATGATTTGCCTTTCCTGAATCCAGCTTGTTCTGGTCGGAGTTCTGTCTCCAGTGCGTCCTTTAATCTCTCCAGGATGATGCGACTCAGGATTTTACTTGGCGTCGATAGGAGCATGATTCCTCGCCAGTTCTTGCAGAGTGGGGCCTAAGTCGCCCTTCTTTGGTAGTTTCACGAGGTAACCTTTCCTCCAGTCAGTAGGCACCTTTCCCTCCTTCCAGACCTTTTGCAATAATGGAGTCAGCATGTCTGCTGTCGTCTCTGGGTCTGCTTTCAGTGCTTCAGGGGGTATTCCATCTGGTCCGGCTGCTTTTCCAGCTTTCAGAAGCTTGATTGCATTCAAGACTTCAGCTCTCGTTGGAGGATTGGTGTCAACTTGCAGTTGTGTGCGCGCTGTTGTTGGTATTTCTGGACGGGTTGCAGGTGATGGTCGGTTCAAGAGTCCTTTGAAGTGATCCGCCCATTGTTTAATCTGTTTTTCTTCCTTGGTAATTGGGTTCCCTTGGCTGTCTTTTATAGGTTTCGCTTGTGTTGATCTCTTCCCGGATAGAGATTTGGTTATCTGATATAGTGTCCTCAGGTCCCTTTTGCCTGCTGCCTTCTCAGCTTCAGTGGCGAGGTTGTCGTAGAATCGTCTTTTGTCCTTCCTAGCACTTTTCTTCACTTCTTTGTCCAGTGCTTTGTAAGTTGAGCTCAGCGTCTCCTTCTCCTGTCCGTCCTTGCATTGAATCATTTTCTCTTTCACCATTCTCCTCTCTTCTATTAATTTCCAAGTGTCCGTTGAGAGCCATTCCTTGTCTTGTCTCTTCTTTCTTCCTAGAACCGTTGAACACGTTTCGTTGAGAATCGCCTTCAGAGACTTCCAATGTTCTTCCACGCATGATTCTTCAGTGATGTCGCGTAGTGTTTCCTGCTTTGCTCTGACAGTTGCAGTGAAAGTGTCTTTTGTGGTTGTGTCCTTCAGTAATTGAGTGTTGAACTTGCATTGTGGCCTATCCCCAGCTATCCTCGAGGCTTTTAGTTTCACCTTGAAAGTCCCTTCTACTAGATAGTGGTCTGAACCCACATCTGCTCCTCTCCTTGACCTTGTGTCCAGTAGGCTCCGTCTCCACTTTCTTGAAATTGAGATGAAGTCTATTTGATTCTTGGTGTTTCCATCTGGTGAAATCCATGTCGTCTTGTGTATATCCTTGTGTTTGAACACACTACCACCAATCACCAAATCATTGAAGGCGCAGAAGTCTGAGAAGAGTTCACCATTGTCGTTCATTTCACCGAGGGCCTCACGACCCATGGTGAGTTCTCTTCCTGTGTTGTCTCCTCCCAGCTTCGCATTCATGTCGCCCATCAGGATTTTGATATCGCCATTTGGGACGTTGTCCATTATTGCTTGTAGTTGTCTGTAGAACGCCTCCTTCTTCTCTTGTTCTGAGACGTTTGTAGGCGCATAGCATTGAATGACTGTAACTTTCCTTCCTTTTGAGTTGAACCTGGCTGTCATTATCCTGGAGGAGATTGGTTCCCACTGCATGAGAGCTTTGGTTGCTGTTGGTGACATCATGATGGCCACTCCCTCGGTGTGCTCATGGTTGTCCTCTGGGTGGCCGGAAAAGATTACTGTCTCTCCAGTAGGTAGTTGGCACCTTCCAGTTCCGTTCCATCTGCTCTCGCAGATTCCCAACACTTCTATTCTGTACCTTCTCATTTCAGCGGCTATCTGGGCAGCCTTTCCAGTTTCGTACATTGTACGAACATTCCAGGTACCCATCCTTACTTTTGCTTTCATCGAAAGAAGGCACATCGGCTGACTGGCTTCCCGAAGGCTTTCACCAGCCTGCGTCATTTCACTTCCCCGATTCCAGCGAAAAGTAAGGCTATTGCTTATGTTTTTAGAATTTTTAATATATTTATTCGTTGAAGTTTCTGTAGCGATTTGGTTGTTTTACAGGGGTGGAGTTGCTAGCACCACGCCCCAACCCTCCCTCTTTACCCGGGCTTGGGACCGGCGAGAAAACTAGTAAGCTAGTAGCCTAGCAAGCTAGTATCTGGCGAGGTTATTTTAAAAAAAGTAATTTCTTGTAAATACTGCTGCCTAACGATTCCATGTTGTTTTATTATTGTAGCCAACGAATTACACTTCAAATATCTCTCAGAATCCGTCAAATTTCGTTTACTTGATCAGGCCTGCTTTCAATAGATAGTGTCCACTTCCTGTGTCAGTACTTCAGTCGGTACAAATGTTCAATAATATGCTAACTAACATGCATGTATGTAGATAATACACCACTGTAAATAAACACAGTTTTATCGAAACTTGCAATTTCCTGAAAAGCATCACAGTTGACTAATCAGTATTCGTATTCGATCAATAGTACCGTGTAAGTGTTTCAAGTGCCCAAGAAATAAGTGATTCAACTATCTTCCAGTGTATTTATTTTATGTGAAACCTTGTAGATAAAACTCAATTAGAATGAAAATTTCTTAAGATAAATAAATATTGCCCACTAGACCGAGGGAGAAATACCTCGAATTTTCTCATGAAAGTTTGTGGGAAATATGATAGTTGCTCGTTGATTTATGGCATGTCTTTACTTCACATTCTTTATCTCCAGATAATATCAGACCTAATGAGTTCACCTTGCATGTTATCCTATTCTTGACTACATGGCATAATGGCTTAGTGGGTATCGTTAAACAACACAATTCAGCACTATCACTATACAAAATATGAAGATCAAAAAAGGCCAAAATAAAAATAATTGTGAAGCTAGTAATAACAACATAAATAAGAGGGAATATAAGTCATCTACAGTTATACCATATATGGAGGGTACATCTGGATTCTAAATAAAGCATGAATTAGGGTGGCATTTAAACCTACAAACTCACTCAGGACAAGCTCTGCAGGTTAAAGGACCCTGTTGACCCAATTAGACAAAATAATATAATTTACAAAATACTCTGCAATGACTGTGAGCTAAGTCAACTACATAGGTCAGATTAGTAGATCGGGGGTAGTCAGATTGTCGGAACATAAGAATTTAGTTAAGGTGACAATGGTTGACCCCGAGAAGATAAGTAATTTAGAAAAAAAGCTCAGCAGTTGCAATGCATGTATTAACACACTACCACACAATAGGGTGGGAGAGGGTTAAAATTCTAAAAGTAATCTAGGTAGGTGAAGAGAGGCGTTGATTACTGAACACCCTTGTTTATCGAGTCTACACCCAACACATGCAATAGGAATGATTCATCACTCATACCCGAAATATGGAAAATACTACTAGCAATCAAATCAAGTGAAAAATAATGGAACTATATAAGTAAAGTTAGGAAGTCGTGTGATTACCTTGATATGATTATGAGCAATAAATTGTGCTCGAAACGTCATCAGTAAACATTACTGTATAACACTGTGAGACTTTATCAAATTAAATTTGACCCATAATGGAATCACTATACATAAATCTGTGCATAAAAGTATATTTACATTTGGTAACAACACAGCCGTAAACAGATATGTTTTGATGCTAGGTTTCAGTGAATTCACGATTACTTAATGATGAGCGCTGAAGAAATAACAGAAATGACCAGAAATTATTCTGACTTTTAGATTTACGGACCAGTTAAGTTTATTTCTCCATCTATTTTACTACCTTTAACTACCATCACCATATACAGTTTTTGAATGTTATGCTCCCTGTAAAATAACAATAGAAATTCTCTTCTGTGACATGGTAAACTTTTAACGACGGATTATGACTTCTATGACAACTTCACCTAGAAGCTTTACATCACTATTTTCCAGTTATTTCCTTTTGCGAGCAGTCACCAGTCGGGTTTACCGTTTCAGCAATTTATTCAAATGAAAATTGAGTCTTAGTATACTTTGATTTTTTATCACACCACGATTACTACTCCGAATAAAAAACAACAGAACAATATTAGTTATAGCATACAACCACGAAATTCTGTGAATTAAAATGAGAGTGCATCATCTGCCAGTTTAGTTCAGTACGCTGGATAAACACATTCAATACCAGTATCGACTAAGTGTACTATGAAATCGTTTTACCACGTCAGACATTTGAAATAAGCAGCTACAGTAATCTGTAATACAGTCTAATTTTACTACTCGAAAACAAGCATATACAAGATCACAAAGATTCTAGTTTATTTTAATTGATAAAGGTAGCTAGTTATACAAGAAAAGTTATGAATCTCTTAGCTGTTAGCTTAGTAGTTTTATATAACCAGGTAGTAAATTACTTAATGAAGTCTAAAGTTCAGTAAACCAGAGTATTATTTGTTCTTATTTTCCGATAAGACGTAATAGAATGAATTATAGCCTTTGATAAAAATTTACTGATTCTTTCTTCATTATTCTTTAATAAGTGACACTGTGTTGTGAGTTAAATTCTAGTCAAAAACTAGTCAAAGCGGAATAATGCGAAATATTTTACAATTCCTAAAACTTCTCGATCGAAGTGCTGCGTTGCTCATTATCATGTGGTCTTGAAGTGTTCGTGGAGTGAGCAAATGAAGCTTGGCTTGCAAATATTTTACGCTTCATGCTCGAAATTGATTTGGTTTATGGACGTTGATCAATAAAAGACAGTGTATTATCAAAAGAATGGATACTGAACAAAGTACTCTTTTCGATAACTTCATCATCAGGCGCTACAGTTGTATGTACCTTATGGTGAATGAATTAGTGTTATGAACAAAATTAATGTTTAAATAACATCGAATCAATAATATCAATAGATTACAGTTCAATAGCATCAACATAAAAATAAGCTGAATGTCAGGAAAACTAAAAAAGATAATATTACAAATTCATGAGTTTATGGTTTCTACAGAGCAGCAGTAGTGGCTGGACTTGTTTCTTTTGCACACAAGGCACTGGTTGTTTCAAGCGAATTGCAACAGACTCTGCTGTTTGGGGCATGCGGTGGTTCGATGTTTTTGGCAATTTATTTGGCACCAGGTAGATTATAGAAAGGGATTCTTCAGTGCTGGCTGGCTTTGTGGCCGGTTTGGACCAGATGATCTAATATCGAACTGTTAACGGCTTTAACGACACCTTTACTTAACCATACTGGGAGATGTTCTTGAGTGCGAAAAATCAAGTTTCTAGAACAACGGCCAATATAACTCGATCGACAGGCGCAGGTGAATTGGTAGATACAATTTGAAGTGGTTAGCCTAGGTACTTCATCTTTCAGTCGAGAAATCACTATCGGTCGTGTCCAGTGAATGATTCACACAACAAATACATAATATTATTGAGGCTGATCAAGCCTGTATTTAACATCTTACTGATAATTTGTATAATTAAAATTATGGAATTCAGTTCTAAGAATATTTCTTCCATCTGAGTCATGAATAGTTTTTACAGAACTCTTAATTTGAAAGTAGTCTAAAGTATGATTCACACTGAACACTCGCTTTTACACACATGAGACAAGCTTTATTTGTAATGTGTGGTGACTGACAATTTCTATCTTTGTATTGTTTAAATACTTACTGTTGTTTGTTAATATATTTGTTATATGTTTTATATATAATTCCGCCAAATACAAATTCCTAAATTTATCCCTCTCTGTGTTGTTGGCTGAGTTCCTTTAATTCGGTCATTGTGAAATACAAATACTACTATTACAAATGATCATAACATAATATCACTCACTATCTGATGAAAAATGGAATACTCCGCAGTAGTCCGTTTGAATACGACAATACCTCACAAATGTAGAAGAGAAGTAGAATTCACTATATCCAACTATGAACGTGCATTCTAGTGATTTAATAGTAGCAATCTGTACCAATGACTGATTTAAATTTGCATGGTCGATAGCCATTCTGAAGCAAGCTTACTCTGGTCCGAATAATCAGTATGTTTTTGACTTTTCCAGTAACCGAAGACAACAGGGGGTAAAAAATAGAATAAAGTGAAGCGAATAAACACTAGCTAAGTAGATGACTAGTTTCCATCTTGATGATGAATGCACTGAAAATTCTATTAATGAGTATGCATCGCACAGCATCGGACACTGTGGTGATTGACAATTTCTATCTCTGTATTGTTTAAAATACTTACTGTTGACTGTTGATATGTTTCATATATGAATTGCATAATAATTCCGCTAAATACAAATTACTGATTGCTGCCCTCTCTGGGTTTTGTTTAGATTCTTATAATTCCGTCATCTCGAAAATCTAATATTCCTATTACAATAAATTACTACAAATTGGCGTCGCGATGGAGCTAAGTAACCTGGGAAAATTTCCTCTTAATGGTTCTCCGCGGGAGATTGCTGATTATTTGGAATGCTTTGATGCGTGGTGCATTTCCAAGAATGTTCGGGATGATAAAATACCTGCTCATTTCATCACCGCTATTGGGCTTGATGCATATAGCCTGGTGAAGAATCTGGCATTTCCAGATAAACCCATTTCTCTGTCATATGACAAGATCCGTGAACTTCTGACAAATCACTTTCATGTGACTACATTTGAGACCAGAGAGAGGGCTCACTTCAACAAACTGGTACGTTCTCCCAACCAGAAGATTAGAGACTTCATTCTTCAACTTCAAATTCAAGCCTCAAAGTGTAACTTTGGAGATCAGCTACATACTCAACTACGTGATCGTCTAATTGCTGGAATCAATATTCCTAAACTAGAGAAAGAGTTAATTCAGATTCCTTCTTGTACGTTTCAAACTGCTAAAGATGTATGTATTACATATGAAGATGTCAATAATGAATACTCTGCTCCCACTACGTCAGTGTGTTGAGTACGTAACAATGTGATTGTACACTTTTTGGTTACTTGTATAAATTCGAGATATTGTACATAATTTTTGTTTAAATCGCTTCTTGTTGAAATATACATAACTTCCGTGTACAATTGAAAAATACACTCTGCTGTTGGAGACTTCGTCTTCTCCCTGGTCACTTCTGCTTACTTGCTCCACTCACACCGTGTTGTATACTTCGGATTTATTGTAGGAGCCTACTACTCTCAACCGAAGACATTTCTACAACCGGAACACAGCAGCTACAGCAGACGCAGTCCAAACAATTAACGTGCCCGTGGATTATATAATCAATTTGTACTCGAGGACTTAGACGTTATCTACAAGTAATCCTTTTTGTTGCTATAACTCGTCACTGTATTTTTGGTAATATATTGTGATTTAACACTCCACTGACTTGGATTATTACTTTTATACTTGGAATGTTAGTGAACTCTAATATTAGTCCCCTACAAGTATCTGATGTTATGCTTTCTAAAGTCGAAAATACAAGTGGTCATGGAAAGCAATCCAAACTGTCGTCCACAGGTAATAGAATGCAGCGAGAGATCAAAAACATTAAACCGTGTTTATCCTGTGGAAAGTTACATCTTCGAAGCACTTGCCATTTTCGGGGTGCTAAGTGTTATAAATGTGGTAAAGTTGGACACATCAAGACGGTTTGCAAAGTTCGAATACTTACGTTGCTCAACATTCTTATAATTCTCCCAAGCTGTCTAGTAAAATGGAGTCAATGTGTCTTTCAACCTTTCAAAATACTCAAGCTAATCCAACGAAAACCTCCACTGCAAGTTCAGCAACGCAAGCATCAACTGTTTTCAAAAATGAGGTAGCCAAGTTGCAATGTGAACTGTCGAAAACACGAAAAGACCTGAATGAGATGAGAGAGCAATTGATTAAAATTGAGGAATTACTGCATATGCATAGACTGCGTCTGTCGAATGCAGAGCATACAAGTACCGTGAAAGTCCTGCAAAACTATTCAAGTCTCGAATTCTCAAGAAGCATCTGATGTCCACAACTTCTAATGTCCATTATTACAAAGATAATAACTATAGACCTTCTGTTGGAATTATACTACAAAAAATGGGAAATCGAGTGGTGAAGATATTAGACATCAAAGATCACTCAGTTCATAACGGACATCTGGACAAAGTGACAATAAATGAAGTAGGTCATTCCAATTATAATATTATTGATTCCGCTAATAATCCTGATTTTGTAGATAATTCAGAAATAGGTCCAGATAGTACTGATGAAAATAATATCACAGAATCAGTTAGGTCGCAGCTACTTGCAAGCAAACCGAGACATCGTTATAAATACGCAAGGAGATATTCGAGGTGTGGCGGATGTGGTGATTGACAATTTCTATCTCTGTATTGTTTAAAATACTTACTGTTGACTGTTGATATGTTTCATATATGAATTGCATAATAATTCCGCTAAATACAAATTACTGATTGCTGCCCTCTCTGGGTTTTGTTTAGATTCTTATAATTCCGTCATCTCGAAAATCTAATATTCCTATTACAATAAATTACTACAGACACCATTTCACCGTTCGTTTATCCTGTTATCATAGTTACAGTGTCTTCAGTTCAGTTATAGCTGATCGACCAGTTTTATAAACTTTTTCTCAAAGTCCACTCCAATTACAATTATGTCCAAATATATTACCATTGAGAGAATATTTGTTTCGCTATCTATTCTTACAGATTAGGAGGAAACGACTGTATAATTGGTTTGCATCCATTTTAGTAGGACTATAGTAAGAATAATAGCTTTATTCTAAACAATATGTTCATATACGGCATAGAATTTTCAACTCCATATACAGGGTCTCCAAGTAGAAACGGTAGTTCATAGCGCATAGTTGGACGGATGTTCGCTCTATCTGTAACATATCTGTCGCTTCAAAACAGACCAAGCGATAAGCTGAATGTCATTCAAAAGTTCACAGGAGTATGGAGGCTGGTTGAAAAAAGTATAAGTGAACCAATTTGATGCATCGCATCCTGTAGAAATCAGGAACCTCGGTGGTTAAAGCAGTTATATGTATGTAATGACAACATAGTCTTCACAAATAGGTCCAAACACCACAAATATACGGAATATTGTTGACTTATTTATGGAAAATATGAGACCACTCTCCATATCAAAAGATGAAGTATGATACCATGAACTCATGTAGGGGATAGATTTCGTCATTTCTTTCAAACAAAACTGAACCTTAGCGGGCGGAATGACATTAGAAGGCCATTCAACTGAGAATAGGAGATGCATCCGATCCTACTTCAAGAGATGACGATTAAATAATCGATAAACTGTTTAGAAAGATGATTTCTCAGCAAATTTCTTTGGAGTTCGTTGCAATTACACTAGTGTAGATTAAAAATTCATGTGAATAAAGGATAAACAGACTCATGACATATTAAATTCCATAGTGTTTAAGAAGGGTAAAAGACTTGAATGGAAACAAAACGAAGTAAGTCGTAAGAAGTAAATTTGCACAAAGAAGCTATTATATATGTTTATTTATATGTAGGCAACAACGAAACAAGTGATGCATATACAGGTCAATGACGCAGGCGTTGTGAAGGATAAATCGACTGATTTTTGTCTGGCGATCCATGAGACAACTTAAAATGATGAATTTCTTATGCAAGATATCGATCTGCATATCGCCCCCTTTAGGAGAGAAGTACTACTTGGGATTAACCTGGGATGGCACCGTTTGTTTTCTGTACATTTCTGACCGACATCTGAAGATTTACCCATTGGTAAGTGGGGAGTCTGCAGATTTCGTGACATCCATTTTTATATTGTGATCCGAAGGCATTACACAATAAATCCAGTCTCTAGTGGTCGTTCTACTATCGGAGATTGCACGCCATTTCGAGTGCTGCCTTTAGCCCAGCTGAGAAATCATTTCATATTTGAACAGGCCCGTTCGACTTTTAGCGGTAAATAATTCCCTGAGATTATTGACCACAGAACTCATCACTGAATATTGGATGCTGATCTTCACTATTTTAGTCAACTTGTTTAGCTGAAGGCTTCTGGTCAAGCATCCACACCATTTGACACGCCATCGTGTTAAGTTCGTTCATTCGTGAACAATCCCTAGTTAGTTAAGGAATCATCTTGCACTCCGATTTGGTCCTGAAGTATAGTTCGTAATTTGACCATTCAGTTCCGGTGTTTTGCTTTTTCTTTGGTCCAGGCGAAACGAATACTATAGAAGTTGTGTTTATTAGATCTTGTGTTAGCATACTTTGTATTATCCGTTAACTTCAATACCGCCGGCCTCTAAAGACTTCTTAACAAACAAGATGGGAGCAACCATAAAGAGTAAGATTCTTGAGTGAGAAATCGTGCTACTTTGGTAGCAACCAGTGGTAATGTAGCAAATAGCACGGGTATGTTTGGTCAAAAAACAGGTGTTTTCCACTCTTGGGAACGTAGACTTCCTTTCCAGGTTGAGAGACAACCAAATGCAAACCCTTGCAAACTTTGAATGCTGTCAGAAGTCGTGCGTGAATTTGTGGTTTGGTTGCGAATAACCTTTATTGTTGAGTCTGGTAATCCATGGCTGTCGAAGTGATCTAGGTAAAAGAAATTTAGATTGACATCGGAGAAATAGCAGAGTACATTTGTAGTGGTACTGCAGAAAGAAACTTCGCAACAGAACTTTCAAGTTAATGACAACCGCTTATCCCATGCATTGTCTTGAGCTCCGAAAGTCTGCTGAATGAGAATTTGTTCGATTTTCAAACACAGACGCTAGAAAATAGTAGTGACATTGGATCACATGTCTATCTATTATCGTACTTAATGGTCGTTCACCCGAACGCTGGTGAATTTTCAGAGGACAGGTGCTTGAAACTGAGAAGTGGTAATCAGGTTAAGAAATTAATCTGCTAGTTGGGGACGATATCTGTAGTTATTACCCTAGGATGACCGTTACGTATGTCATTGTGTACAGTGGTGAGAAATCCACCTTTGTGACCAAATTTACAACACCATTCACCAGTTTTGTATATATGGACAAGACTAAACGAAGTGCCGACTACCACAACACTGGCAGGACGATGAGGGAATCCTTCGTAGGCTTCGTTTGCTACTGCGTGCGTAACTGAGACGATGGGCAGTAACCTTGGGACGAGGAGATGTTGAACCGGAGGGTGGTGAGGAGATTTGAGAGGCCTGGAAAAATGAACTGATATAAGGATAACTCGGTACTCGGATGGGTGAAGATTCTAAAAAGCTGAAGGCTGACCATTCGTTGACATTGTGAAGAAATTCCATTTAGTGTAATAGTCGGCTACAGCTGTAGTGTTTGGCAGCCCTATTCATATATCGCAGGGCTTAGAGAACTATAAACTGCGAAGGAGTGCTACCACTTGAAAGTGATCGACCGTGATAGATTTTAACTCAAGTATTCCACAC